GAACAAATAGCATGCATAAAACCAAAGAGTCAGAAAAGACCACTACATGTGATTTCACTGCTTGAGGCAGCCCAATCAATGAACTACCAGATCTGAAATCTAAACCAAAGGACTGCTCATCAAGCTGGCTGCCTTTAGGACTACTCCTGGAGCCTTTCCATCCAGATTGGAAAGGAAGAAGTAAAATTATCTGTATCCACAAACAACATGATCACATATGTAGAAAAGACTGAGGAATCTACAAAAAAATCTAGTAAAACTAATAGCAAGGTCACAGGACACAAAGTCAACATACAAAAATCAATTATATTTCTAAACATTTTTTTGTTTTGTTTTTTAATTTGAGAAAGAGAGAGAGTGCAGGGGAGGGCAAAGAGAGAGGGAGAGAGAGAATCTTAAGCAGGTTTCACACTCAGCACAGAGCCCAACATGGGGCTTGATCCAGCAACCCTGGGATCACGACTTGAGCTGAAATCAAGAGTCGATGCTCAATCAACTAAGCCACCCAGGCACCCCCACTTATATTTTTATATACAAGCAACAAAAAACTGGAAATGAAATTTTTTTAAGTCTATGTACAATAGCATGCAAAAACATAAAATGGGGATACATTTAAATAATAGCTGTGTAGGATTCTCTAAGGTTAAAAGTGAAAGTGAATACTTTTAGCCTAATAAGCACTCAGCTATCACAGTAACTATTGTGACACAGGGAACAGGATTAAAAGGGAAGAAGAGGGGACTGACTTTTGTTTGAATTTTCATTTTGGGGTTGTCAAGTTGAGAAATTAGAACAGATCAAGGCAGAAGGATAAAGATGAGCTAAGTGATTCTGGAACTCAGCCTTCCATGTCCATAACCTCAGTTTAATAAAAATCAAGAGTTTTGGTATCCAGAACATACCATTTGGTACCCATTGAGACTCTGGGAGTAGAAAAGGTGAACCAGAGGACGTATCTTAGTCCAATTAAAATATAATTTTCTTGGGGCACCTGAGTGGCTCAGTCAGTTGAGGTCCGACTTAGGCTCAGGTCATGATCTCCTGGTTCGTGAGTTTGAGCCCTGCATCAGGCTCGCTGCTGTCAGTGTAGAGCACTGTCACCCTGTCCCTTTGCCTCTCCCCTGCTCATGCGCACACGCACGCTCTCTCTCTCTCTCTCTCTCTCTCTCTCTAAAAACTGAATAAGCATTTTTTTAAGTTTGTTTATTTTGAGAGACAGGAGGAGAACACAAGCAGGGAAGGGGCAGAGAAAGGAGAGACAGAATCCCAAGCAGGTTCTGCTGTCAGCACACAGCCCAATGTGGGGCTCGAACCCACAAACTGTATGATCATGACCTGAACCAAAATCAAGAGTCAGATGCTTAACCAACTGAGCCACTCAGGTGCCCCAAAGATTTATTTTTAAAAGAAGGTAATTTTCATGTCACAAAGATGTAATTAAGATCAGATTTCTCTTTCCTCTGAGACCACTGACTTACAAGAAATAACCAAAGCAAAAATAAGCTATAACTACTACTTCCCATTGTCTCTCTGCCCAGTAGGGAGAAGAGGGAGGTCCCTACTCCAAAAGTAGTGAAGGAGGTTGTAGCTTCCCATCCCTTCAGTCAGAACTCAGCACCCATTTAAAAGGGTAGGTATTGTTATAGCCACCTGTGGGCCCCTCATCCCCTCTGAAGAGGTCCAGAAATTCTGCCAGAAGATCCCAACTGGCCTAACAGTGGCTTCACAGACCAGGTGAAGTCCAACCACTTCTTGCTGCCCAGAGGAGAAAGCCATGCACTATTCTGCTTTGGGGGTTTAAGCAGGATATTATGACTTACTGAGAGTGGCCAGATATTATGGAGCTGGTCTGCCCATGCTCAAGTCATACACTGATCCTTTAAAGATTCACCATTCAAAGCCAAAGATAATCTTGTATTTCAGGTATTGAGCACTCAGGTATTTAGGTATTCAGAATTTGTGCCTACATTCAAATTGTTGCGCTATAATCAAATTGCATCTGCCTGATTCAACTAATTCAAGAGACGGCAAGGAGACTAATCTCATTAAAAATGGCAGATGTTGGGGCACCAGGGGGGCTCAGTCATTAAGCGTCTGACTTCCAGTCAGGTCATGATCTCACAGGTGGTGAATTCGAGCCCACTGGGCTCTGCCCTGCTGGTGCAGAACCTGCTTGGGATTCTCTCTCTGTTCCCCTCTCTGCCCTTCCTCCACTTGCATGCACACACTTTCTCTCTCTCTCAAAATAAATAAATATATTCTTTTTAATGACAGATGCATGGGTATCATAGCCTGAAAAGGGGCATGCGACTCAATCCCGGCCAGTGGGACCTGGGTAGGGGCAGATATCTGCAGGCAAGCTAGTTGGAAGTTTTCCTTAATGATCAAAAACGAAGCTTGAGAATTGGGGATAGGAGAGCCTTTTTTGGACCTGTGGAGGTAGCTGTCTATAATGTGATGACCAGAAGTATGGCAGCCATTTTGAAACCACAAAAGCACAAGCCGAGTAAAACATAGCAGCAAAAGTATCTGCACCCAAGACTGCTAAGCCACTGCCCAACTCGGGAATACCTTATCTTTTTTTTTTTTTATTTTTTTTTTCAACTTTTTTTTTATATATTTTTGGGACAGAGAGAGACAGAGCATGAACGGGGGAGGGGCAGAGAGAGAGGGAGACACAGAATATGAAACAGGCTCCAGGCTCTGAGCCATCAGCCCAGAGCCTGACGCGGGGCTCGAACCCACGGACCGCGAGATCGTGACCTGGCTGAAGTCGGACGCTTAACCGACTGCGCCACCCAGGCGCCCCAGGAATACCTTATCTTTAGATATCATATTCTAGAATAATAAACAATAAATACAAGTCATCTTTTAGTAAGCATTCTGAAAACATCCTAACTGCTGCACAGATCAATAAGAAAAAGACAACTCATTGGGTCACCTGGGTGGCTCAGTCGGTTGAACATCTGACTTCCGCTCAGGTCATGATCTCACGGTTCGTGGGTTCGAGCCCCACCATCGGGCTCTGTGCTGACAGCTCAGAACCTGGAGCCTGTTTCAGATTCTGTGTCTCCCTCTCTCTCTGCCCCTCCCCCACTCGTGCTCTGTCTCCGTCTCAAAAATAAACAAACATTAAAAAAAGAAAAAGACAACTCAACAGAAAATTGGATAAAGGATACAAACAGAAAACTCTCATAAGAGGAAATATGGATAGTCAAAAAAACATTCTAAAAGATGTCCAACATTGCTAATAATAAAAGCAACACCAATGAACAAGTTTTTTGCCCAGTAGACTTACAAAATTTAGTAATACTAGAGTTGGTAAGTATTTGAGGAAACAGGGCTTCTCGGATTTCTTAGCAGATCGCAAACTGGTACACCGATACACAATTTAACATAGTTAATTAAAATTTGAAATGTGCATCCCCTTCAACCCAACAATTCTACAGAAATACTCACACATGCACTCAAAGATGTTTGTACAAGGATGTTCAGTATTGCACTGCTTGTTAAGCCAAAGAAAAAAATCTTAAATAGTGCAAGGTCCATGAGTAAGGAATCGAGTAAATAATTTATAGTCCATTCTACTGTGGAATAGCCACAGTCATACAAAATAATGGAGTAAATCTGTGTATGCTGGTATTTCAATCTATTCAAGATATACTGTTAAGGAAAACACACAAATTACAGAAGAGTAGGTATGCATCCCATTCTCATTTTTTTGTGTGTGAAGTAAAGAATGCTTTTATATGCACTGAAATAAATCTGAGACAGTATATAACAAAGAATTATCACTAGGAGGTTAATATGAAGCCCTTCAATTTTAAATTTTACATATTTCTGTGTTTAGGAGCTTGTGTGTGTGTGTGTGTGTGTGTGTGTGTGTGTGTGTGTGTGCACGCACGTGTGTATGCATGTATTGCTTTTGCAATTAGAAAAAAATGTATTTTAATCAAATCAATCAAAAGAAAGACCTGGTTTTCCACTAGCATTCACTACTGTTCCAAGAGAGTTGTAGCCAAATGTCTCAAGTCTTCCCAGAGCCCAAGGTGCTAGATTCCAGCCTGGGAATCTGTCTCTTGTGCAGAGCTTGAGGGTGACATGAGACTGGCCCTCTGGTCACGAACGGGAGATCCAAGAGACAGCATCCAAGGACAAGAGCTAAAGAGATAGCCAAAGAGCTCACCCCATGGGGCCAGGCAGAGAGGCAAAATCCAGTGGATGAGAACCTCTGACACCAAGCCAAAGCCAGCTGGCACTGAATGGAAGGTGTTTGTGGCTCTGAAGTGATCTGAACAGCTGAGGTGGAGTGTGGCTCACAGGGCATCTGCCACCTCAGAAGCCGGAAGGGAGGAAACCATCAAGGTAGGGAGCCATCAGTGAATAACCAGAGTATAAAAAAGTAATAAAGCATTATGCTTGTTTCAATTTCCTATTTAGAATGGTTTCAGACTTTCAAAAAGGAAAAGAAAAAACATTTACCTTCTTAAATTATAAAGTTTTTTAGGTGTAATTTAATTTCTTTCCAGTCATAGGTCTGTGAAAATTTGCATACTGCCATGATGCAAATAATTTTTTTTTTTTTTTTCAGAGCACCTCATTATACTCCACTGGCTTGGAAGGATTTTATAAAATCAAGCCTATCCCTCTTCCTTTCACATATGATTTTGGTAAATGATCATCATATCAGACAGTTGCTGCAAGATGGTACCCCCAACTCCCAAAACATTCGTCTGGGAGGAAGAAGTTCCCTTCCCCATTTCTATCCCCCGAAAGCTGTTTGTCTGAGCCCTCTAGGGCAGGCAGCCATCGCCCAGCGCAGCAGAGCAGGGTGAGAAGTCCTTTTTAGGCAAGATATTAAAAGGAGTTGGCTGAGCAGATCTAAAACCCTTGGTCAACAGGGCGGGGCCAGCCCCGGGGCAGAAGTATTACTTCACAGTTGCATCGGCTTCCTGTGGCTGCCAATAGAGGCGGCATCTGGCAGCCAGCCCACCGCAGAGAAGAGGGAACTCCGCAGAGAAGAAACTAGCAACGAGGCCCCAAAGGTGGAAGTGCAGCCTGAGAAACTTGAGCCAGCCCGGGACTGTGCCGGCCTTGCCACTCACTCTGCAGGGTGTGGCGTGCAGGACCCCTCCGGCTTCACAAGACTGATATGCCTCCTGTGGTGAGCACATTCCATATGCACTTTTCACACACTATTTCATCCCTATCATTTATTCCATATCATAAGGCTATTAGGCAGGTGCTGTAATTTTTCCATTTTTCAGACAGAGAAACGGAAGCCCAAGGAGGTGAAATAACTTGCCCCGGGACGCACAAGCAGGAAACAGAGGAGCCAGGATTCAAACCCCCTGTGTGGCCATCCCTGGAGCCCAGACTCTGACCGCAGCAACTTCAGCTTTCAAGTGAAAATCAAGATGATGAGGTAAAGGTTAGTGCTCCCTCCAACTGACACTGGGGATTGGAGCAATCTTGTCTCCTCCCTTGTAGGTAATATTTTGGGTTTCCTTCCTTGCACACAACCAGGCAAATGACTGCAATTCTAAAACGAGATAAATATAAAAACAAGAAGTGAAACACTACAGACACCTGAAACCCGACCATTTCTGCAAGCTCGAGCTAGCAGAGTCGCCTCGCAACAGAAATAGTTCTGTCCTGTTTAGATAGGCTTTGTTTTGCTACATGGCTGCATATGCAGTGAAGTGATATCAAGTCCTGAGGGTCCACTCCTTTGATGAGTTAAACACACAAAGGCCTACATTTTGATGTAATCTGATAGCATGTAGTTAAGTCCTAGACAAAGTGCAACTGTGAGGAAGTGATAAACCCAACTTCCTGCACAAAGCCGCCTGAGATAACACTTTCCATGGACTGGAGAAAAAAAGAGAGAGAGAGAGAGAGAGAGAGAGAGAGAGAGATGATTGCTACAGAATTTTAAAAGAACTATTCCATTCTTAACAAATAAACCCTTCTCCATGGGGCTCCAGCAACAGCTAAATAAAACTGACTGCAGTCAGGTGACTATGTAGTATTTCCACATATGACTTAATTCTCACTTTTATTCATAGACAGTGTCAATCACTGGAGATTCACTTGATTTTTTTCTCTTAAGAGTACTTTAGTTCAAACTCGAAATCTCAGGTATCTTCTTGGCCAGAACATCCCTGCAGTTGACCAAGAACTCGAATTGAGGGAATTGAGTTTGCATTAACTGGCTTAATGGTGTTCCCACTGAGTCATTAAAGAGGTTGAATCAGTCTGAATAAACACACATTGGAAGAGTTGTCAGATTATGGAAGGACCAATAACTATTTCCACAATGCCAAAACAAGGTCAGTCATGGTTTCACTAAGGGTTCTCAAGAATCATGTCCTATCTAAACAACCAATAAGGGCTGACTGTGCTGGGAATTTTCTGTGAATACATTTACTCCTTTACTAATATCGCAAATACTGTAGAGATTTTTATCTCACAATAGTCCCCAAAGAGCACCTACTATGTGCTAGGAAATACAATAGCAAACACAGAAAGAAACAGCCCCTTCCCTCGAAGACTAGTTAGGAAGATGAATAAAGTAAACATAGAAATATGTGTAAATCACAAATTTTCTTGAGTGCTTTGACGAGAAAGGACAGGGTGGCCTGATTTCGGTTTTGGATGAGGTGATCACTTCCCTGATGATGTGATATTTAGGCCTGAATCATTCAAGCAGACCAAGAGGGAGGGAAGACAGTTTCGGCAGAGAAAACAGGCCATATCAAGGCCTTGAGTTGGCAAACAGCATGGTGCCTTCAGAAGCTAAAGGAAGGCCATATGTCCAGAATAAATTAAATAAGGAGAGAGAGAGTCTGATATAATCCTGGAAAGCACAGAGGAGCCAGATCAGGCAAGGGCCTTGCAGGCCATGTAAAGAAGTTTGGCTTTATCGTGAGCATACTGGGGATTATTCCAGAAAACACTGCTGAACCTCTAATAGTGTTTTGTTTGTACATTGTTTACTAGGCAAGGCTCTCAGAGAAATGAAGCAGCCCTAACATTCTTTGGGGAATATTGTGAGATAAAAATCTCTACAAGTAATCTGGAGCATTAAAGGTATTCCCCTCAGTTCAGCCAGTTCAGCCAAGCCACAAACTGGGAGGGGGGAAAAATCAGAATGATAAAAAAATTTAACGAACCACATGTCATTTTATTATTTTGATATGATTATAGAGTCACATGGTTGTACATATAGATACACTGGCCATATGGACAAATCCTCTTGTTTTACAAAAGAAACTAAGGCCCAGAAATAGATTTTGGAGATTCCTTTGCTGCAGTCATTGGGATGGGAAAGTGAATGTCCTGCTGCTGAGAATATCACAATGGATCTGAAAAACTGGGCTTCCAACATGTAAAACCAGTTTCAAGTTTTCTTTCATTAGGGCTTCTTAATGTGTTGGTTTTATTCCACAATCAAGTGATGCTTTAAATCTTTCAGGCACAGGTTAATAAAAGTCATTTTTTCCTCTTGTGTCTATTTCCAAGCCCTGACCCCAATGTTTCTGAGAACCTACTCTGCATAAACCCCACTGGCTACCTGGCCCTCAACTGATGGGTTTTGAAGCACTGAGTATGATTAGAGATTTGCTTTTGATTCTGAGGCTCGTGACAAGGGATCCTGGCCCTCCTTCAGGTGAAGCTAGGGAATTTGCTGGTTTGAGATTGAATCAAGTTCTTAAAAAAAAGGATTGACACTTCAGGGCCAACCAGACATTGCTTTTGCTATTCTGATGACTTTCCACTTGGGGCTGAGTGGATTCCTGCTAGTAGTAGCATTTTGACCTCAGTACAGTTTCATTTAGTTGACCTCAGAGAAAATCCTCTACCTCTCTGGGCCTCTACTTCTCTTCAAATGATGCCTAAGACACTTACATGTCCAACATTCTATATGTGGGCAAGACAAATAAAAAAAGTTTAGAATCTTGACAGAAAATGTCCTTAGCACCTCACTTCCTATAATAGAATGGAAGGAAGGAAGGAAGGAAGGAAGGAAGGAAGGAAGGAAGGAAGGAAGGAAGGAGGGAAGAAAGGAAGGAAGGAAGGACAGAAGAAGACTGGGGTTGGAGGAGAGAGAAGGAGGGAGGGAGAGAAGGTAAAAAGGAAGGAAAAGAAGGAAGAAGTCATTAGTGAACAAAACTGAGGAAGGAAAAAAGGCAAAAGCTGTGCTTTCCATACCACTCTGCAACCTTAATAGAAATAGATTGGGCTTGAGTTGTGAATAAGTTATTGTTTATTTAGCCATCAAAACACAGCCCAGTGGAGTATACCTAAGCATCCTTTGCAGATTAAGATTCTGGATACCTATGCGTCAGCAACTTCTGTTTAAGAAAACAAATGAAGTTTCAGGAAAAAAATTGTTAGAGAAGAGTTAAGCTTTTTTTTTTTTTTTTTTTTTTTTTTTTTTTTTTTTTTTTTTTTTTGAAATATTTCAGGGTTGCCTGGGTGGCTCAGCCTGTTAAGGACCGGACTTCAGTTCAGGTCATGATCTCACATGATCTCACTCATGATCTCATGAGTTCCAGCCCCGCATATGGCTCTCTGCTATCAGTGCGGAGCCCGCTTTGAATCCTCTGTCTCCCTCTCTCTCTGCTCCTCCCTTGCTCTCTCTCTCTCAAATAAACAAATATTTTTCTTAAAAAGAAAAATAACTAAATTTGAAATGCCTTATATTGCAAAGATTTTGTAAATCATTGACATCTATGGAAATCACTTAGCCCAGAGGCTAGCACTTAGTAAGTACTCAGTAAATGTTATTTAATGCTATAATTCATACTACAGAGAACTAGAAAACTTGAAATCCAGACCTCTGAACGGATAGCTATGTGATTTAAGCAGGTGTCTCTGCCTCTCTAAGTCTGTTTTCCAAATCTGAAAGAAGAATGGATTGGATTCAATTGAATGAGGTGGCAGACAGAGCTTCTCCAGTTGCTATTCTCCAAGTCCATTTCAATTGTGTTAGGGCCCCCATGTTTGAATTGAACATTAATATTTTAATGAAAATAATTTCTTCCTCACACCATATTGTAAAGTACCTGCATAACTTTGCAGAGCATTTCTCTTTCCTTCCCTAAGCAGATTCTGGAGCACTAAAATTAAAGAGAAGTAAAGGGGATTAACATTTCCCTAAAAGGACCAATTGGAAGGGCAACTTCGGGGCACTAGTTAAAATGTCAGTCCCCTTAAGAAATGTCCAGTTAAGGAGTCTGGTCCTAGTACTGCATTGTAGTATTTGGAGGACTGTGAGAGTGGGGTCAAGCTCTGTTGGCTCTTAACTCCATCACAACATCTGCTCAAGACTCAGGACTTCCTAAAACTGGATTTTAAACACCCCTAAGAGACTGCCATTTCCCTGAGGGTTTCTCTTCAAGTAAAAATGTTTTTGCCTCCCAAATTGAGTCAACACATCTGTTCCTACCTATCTTAAAAGCTTCATCAATTCAATAATTGTCCAAAAGGAAGAGGGAAAAAAAAAAGCTATTGTGTGATGAAAACTTTTGGCAAATCTTATGAAAACACATTCTTAAAACATCTCTCATTTCTGAGAAACAAAGTAAAATGTATGAATTGTGTTTTGTTTCATGACGAACAAAATGATTCATTGCTACAATGAGGTATTTTGACCATATCTACATAAAACAAGTATGAACATTCAATTGAAAAAATAAAAATAACTCAATTAGAAAAATAAACTTTGAGTACCTCCTCTCTAAACGGCACTGAACTTGGCCTCAAAAAACTAGGCAGGTTGGGGGCGCCTGGGTGGCGCAGTCGGTTAAGCGTCCGACTTCAGCCAGGTCACGATCTCACGGTCCGTGAGTTCGAGCCCCGCGTCGGGCTCTGGGCTGATGGCTCAGAGCCTGGAGCCTGTTTCCGATTCTGTGTCTCCCTCTCTCTCTGCCCCTCCCCCGTTCATGCTCTGTCTCTCTCTGTCCCAAAAATAAATAAAAAATTAAAAAAAAAAAAAAAAAAAAACTAGGCAGGTTGTCATGCTCAAGTTTAAGTTATTTAGGTGTTAGCTGTAGCTTCTATGCACTGAGAAGTTTCTTTACAGCTACTTCTCTGTGCTAACACAGTAGCCTCCAGCCACATGTGGCTACTGAGTGCTTGAAATGTGGCTGGTTAAATTGAGATGTTTTATAAGAGTAAAATACACACTAGATTTAGAAGATTTAGGGCAAAAAGAGAATGTAAAATGTCTCATTAATAATTTTACATCAATTATATATTAAAATGACACTATTTTGAATATGTTGGATTAAAAATATTTTATTCACTTAGGGGCCCCTGGGTAACTCAGTGGGTTAAGCATCTGACTTTGACTCAGGTTATGATCTCACAATTTGTGTGTTCGAGCCCCACGTCGGGCTCTGTGCTGGCGGTGCAGCG